CCGGCCGTTTCCCCGGGCCGCGGGTGCGGCGTCGCCGCCTCTGGAGCGCCTGGGGCCGCGGCAGAACGGGCGCCTCGCGCGGGAGGGACACGCGGCGGGCGCGGAGGGATCCGGCGGAACGCGCGGCGGACGGATCTGGGCCCGAGCGCGGCCGACGGGCGTCCGAGGAGCGGAGGGATCGCGCCTGGCGCTGACGGGCGGCCGGACCAGCAGAAGTGGGCGGGGTGGCTGCCTCTCGCGACAGCCCGGGCCGGTGGTGCCCGCCCCCACGCGCTGATTGGCTCTGGAGGTCCGTTCTCGGCCCGTGATTGTTCCAGGTCCCCAATCTGATTCGCCCGCGCTGCGGCCCCTCCTCCGCAGCAGCTGTCGATCACGCTGGCACCGCCTCCTCCTGCCCCTCGGGGGCCGGCGCGAGTCCATTGGTCCGCGGAGACCGGAGAGGCAGAAAACCCGGGGTGGATTTCTGTTCGCTTTTGTTCCCGCAAATTTGCGTGGAGCATTGTTTTTAAGTGAAAGCGAGGCGCTCGGCCTTTCGGCTATATTCCTGAGCGTTATAATAGGGGGGTGGTGGCTGTCTCCGAATAGCTACTGGGGCGGGGCTCCGGAGACCAGTTCCAGCCCTCAGACCTGTCACTTATCAGCTGTGTGACCTTGGGCAAGTCGCTTGGCCTCTCTGAGCCCTGGGCTCCACCCTGGAAAAACGAGGGTAATAATAACCGCCCCGGGGGGCTTGTGAGAAGGTGGTGAGCTCACAGAGGGCGGGCGCCTACATTTTAAGGCTGCTGGCCTGCCGTGGGGATGTGATGGGAGGAGCAAGTTTCTCCTAAAGCCCTCAACCAAATGGCGCCTTTAAGTCCGCCCTCCTTTAGCGGGCTCCTGCCTAGACTCGTGGAGCCGAGAAATTGCGAACACACGAGCCAGTCCCAGGGTGCACACCTGGCTTTGCGTTGGCACCGGGTTGGGGGAGGGAGCTGACGCACCCAAGCGCCCTGAAATCCTGCGACTGCACGATCCCATCGACAGGGAGGGAACTGAGGCAATGGGGCGAGACGCTTTCCTCCTCCCCTGCCCTTATACTAGGAGGCTTCCTTTGATATCTTGGGTCCAGAACTGGAGTCTGTAGGTTCACTGGTTGGCCAACTGCAGCCCAGCGGGGTCCTAAGGCCAGCAGTGCCCTCCCCGCTCGATGGAGCAACGGTGCATGGAGCAGGACATACTGTAGAGATTGTTGAATAAATAAGTGAATTCCTTCAGGATATGGTCCAAGGTGCTGAAAACTTCCTAACAAAACATTCTCCAGCCTGGAGGCTTCAATTGGTGAACGGGCATTACAGAGAGCCACAGCCAGAGGAACCCATTTTGCTCCCCACTCCCGCAACCCTCTGCACCCCTTGAACGCATTTGGGGAACCAGCTCAGTGTTCTCAATCTGTGAGAAGAGGCAGGAATGGGGGTGAAAGGGTGGCTTCCCGCATAGGCATGGGGGGATGAAGCTGGGTCTAGGTGGGTCCTTCACAGACTAATTTCTATCAATAATTGTATCAATCCTTGCTGGCTTGCACATCACCTCTTTCACGTGGGCAAGGGGGCACATTCCCAAACCCACGGTCTGCGGAGGTGAAGGATGTGAACAGCAGGACAATTCAAGACCTTTGCTTCCTATTGATAAAGCACATTCCTCAGAGAAAGATCACGGAAAAGTCTTGGAACCTGATCAGCTCTGGGGCTCCCCCAAGCCAGCCTGAACAGCCACAGTGCCAGGTAGACCCAGATTCCAGGCCTAGCTCTGGCAGCCTCATGACCTTGGCCTTTCACTCAATCCCTCTGAGCCTTAGCCTCCTCGTCTATAAAAGGGAGCCAGGAACCCCACCTTCCTGCTGGCATTGGAAGCTGGTGATGCTAACAGAAGTTCTTACTAGCAGGGACAAGGGAAGCTTAAGCTCTGAAGTCACAGAATCTCGGTCCCGCAGCCCCCAACTTCCTTTGTTGTACTTCTTGCTGTGATTTGTTATTTAATGCTTTTCTGCAACCCCTAAAAGTCCATGGTCATCCAGAGCCTCAGTAGTTGAAAAGTGGGTGTTTCCAGATGTGATTAAGGTAACAAGATGAAGTCATACTGAGTAAGGGTGGGCCCTAAATCCAATGAGAGTGGACACCCCGAGACCTGGGAGGAAAGGCCCCGTGAAGACAGAAGCAGAGACTGGAGCCAGGAATACCTGGGGCCCCGGGAGCTGGAAGAGGCAGGAAGACTTTTCCCCGTAGAGCATTCATTCAAAGGGAGTGCAGCCCTGCTGACACCTGGGTTTGGACTCCTACCTGCCAGAACTGTGAGAGGATAAACGTCTATTGTTTTAAGTCCCCCATTTTGTCATTATGGTACTGTTATGGTAGCTTCAAGAAACCAGTTCAGTGCCATTTCCTACTAAACATTGATGTGACCCAACAATTCAGTTTGCACAGATAGTAAAAACCTACCCCATGAGGCCAGACCTCAGACAGGGTCTCAGGGAATGAGACCCAGCCCCTCAACTTTCAGGAGCTAACAGGCGGCTAGGTGTGGTGGCTCACACCTGTAATCCCAGCACTCTGGGAAGCTGAAGCAAGAGGATCCCTTGAGCTCAGGAGTTAGAGGTCAGCCTGACCAAGAGTGAGAACCCCATCTCTAATAAAAATAGGAAATACTAGCCAGGCATGTGGTGGGCACCTATAGTCCCAGCTACTGGGGAGGCTGAAGCAGGAGAATCACTTGAGCCCAGCAGTTTGAGGATGCTGTGAGCTGTGATGATGCCATGGCACTCTATCCAAGGCGACAGAGTGAGACACTGTCTTAAGTAAATAAAGAAGAAGCTGACAGTCTATACTCCCCACTCTGAAGGTGGCAGGCCACTATCTGAGGGAGGCTTCCTCAGGGAAGAGGGTAGATGCTGACCTGTCATCCCAGCTCTCTGGGACCTGGCCCTGAGGATCTGGGTTTTCCACGCCAGGGACCTGCTCTCCTTCCCCCTTCTCCGCCGTCTTGACAGATGCACGAGGTGACACCTGGCAGGAAGCAGGTCTCTCTCCACCCCTGCCTTGACAGCTGCTACATGCTCCTCCTCCAGAAAGCCCCAGACCTCTCTGGAGTCCTGGAGGGAGTGGAGGGTCTCTGGGAGGAGACAGAGAGAGGGACTGGGTCAGAGGCTGGGCCTGCCTCTAGGTGAATGCTACATAACCCAGGCCACTGAGGAGGGGAGTAGGGTCATGTGTGCGGACACCACACTGAGCAGGCAAAGCTCATTCATCACTAGGGCCAGAGCTGCCCAAGCCTCACCACCTGGGGCAGGGGAGATGGCCCGCAGGAGCTCACAGTCCAGGGTCCCAAGATAGGTCTATTTGCATTTTTATTTATGCCAAATTGATTACCTCTGGTGTAAGATCTGGGAGAAGCGGGGACTATCATTTCCTTAGGGCTGGAATCAGGCACAAATCACTTTAATCGTTGGGTGTTTGGGGTTTTTTTGTTTGTTTGGGGGGGTTGTTTTTTGTTTTGTTTTGTTTTTGAGACAGTCTCATTCTGTCACCCTAGCTACAGTACCATGGCATCATCATAGCTCACAGCAACCTCAGACTCCGGGCTCAAGTGATCCTCTTGCCTCAGCCTCTCAAGTAGCTGGGACTACAGGCGCCTGCCACCATGCCTGGCTAGTTTCTCTATTTTTAGTAGAGACCAGGGTGTCACTCTTGGTCAGGCTGATCTTCAACTCCTGACCTCAGGCAATCCACTTGCCTCAGCCTCCCAAAGTGCTGGGATTACAGGCATGAGCCACTGCACCCGGCCAATAGTTTTATTTTTCAGACAGAGACCTGGAGTTCACCACAAATTCCTCAGTTTTGCAATGAAAATATGACATGCCTGGCATTACTTCTTGTGTCTGAACTAGTGACACAGACAGAGGACCACAGCAGCTGGCCAGGCCAGACCTGGAAATAGGCCCCCAAATATTTATACCCTCATCCCCCACACCACTGTGGCCATCTTGTTCTTCCTTCTGGTCCCAAAGGAGGAGTATGGGGACCAGCGGCCGAGGAGGAAGACATGGAATTCTGAAGAACACTCCCATTAGGAGGCGGTTCCCAGAGCAGTCAGGCCTGGGAGTGCACGGAGGTGATTCACTGCACATTTCTCCCTGGGGGTATGTTAGATGGCTGAGTGGTCTGCAGTTAGGACACACCTACTGAGTTGCCTCTTTCCTTTGGCCTAAGCTCAGTCATTCTGTGCCTGAGAAGGTTCCTGGACCAAACACCCCTGGTGAAAGGATCCCTAACTTACTACCGGTCTTTGCTTTGTGCCTCGGTTCCTGGAAGCATTCTGTGATCACCATACCCCAGCAGGGCTGGTTCTGATACCTCTGTCAGAATTCCAGTTTGGCAGAAGGGGAATGGTCAGGGCTTTGGCCTATGCTGGCAGTTGGTTCATATTGGAATTGGATTCCTTTTTTTTTTTAAGACAGAGTCTCATTTTGTCGCCCTCGGTAGAGTGCCATAGCATCATAGCTCACAGCAACCTCCAG